GTATGATGAAAGAACCCAACCTGGTGCACACCTTTCCTTATTTTAAACTGTTCTGTATCCCCTTGTTTTTTTCTAACAACTGTTTCTTGATCTATGTACAGGTTCCTCATGAGCACAGTTAAGTGTTCTGGAATACCCATTTGTTGCAATGTTATCCATAGTTTACCATATTCCACACAGTCAATAAAGCATTAGTAAACATCTTTTTGATACTGTCTGCATTCAACCAAGATCCATTTGACATCAGCAATGATATCCCTAGTTCCATGTCCTCTTCTGAATCTGGCCTGGATTTTTGTGAGTTCCTTGTCAATGTACTGTTGCAATCATTTAAAAATTATCCTCAGCAAAATTTCATATGCGTATAATATTAATTGTATTGTTTGATGATTTCCGCATTTAATTTGGCCACCTTTCTTTGGAATGGGCACAAATATGGATCTCTTTCAATTGGCTGGCCAGGTAGCTGTCTTCCAAATTTCTTGGCATAGATGAGTGAGTGCTCCCAGTATTGCATCAGTTTATTGTAATATTTCATTTTGTATTCCATCAGTTCCTGGAGCCTTGTTTTATTTATTTATTAAGTTTTTTATTATGAATTGAGTGATAATTTACATGGGGGAACATCAGTTTTACAATCATCATTTCACTACAATGACTACAATCCTGTAGCCTTGTTTTTTGCCAATGTCTTCAGTGCAACTTGGACTCTTTCCTTCAGAAATGTCAGTTATTGATCATATGGTACCTCTTGTAATGGTTGAACACCGAGCATTTCTTTTTGATATAGTGATTCTGTGTATATCTTACATCTTCTTTTAATACTTTCTGCATCGTTCAATGTTTTGCCCATAGAATCCTTCAATATTGCAATTTGAGGCTTGAATTTTTTCTTCAGTTCTTTCAGCATGCTCTTCCTTTTTGGTTTTCTAACACCAGGTCTTTAGACATTTCAGTATAATACTTGACTTTGTCTTTTTAAGCTGCCCTTTGAAATTTTCTGTTCATAAACGTAATGCTGCAAACAGCACAACCTTACTGTAGTTCAGATGTTCAAAATCAGTCTCATTGTATTAAAATCAAGGTGACAGCAGGGTTATGTTCCTTTTTTGAGGACTCTAGGGAAGAGTTGTTCCATTTATTTTTCCTGCTTTTAGAGACTACTGGCATTCCTTGGTTCATGGCTCCTTCCTTCACTTTCAAAGCCAGCAACTGCATTACTCTGACCTCTTCTCTATCATTACATTTCCAGCTCTGACTTGACCTTTCCCACTCCTTTTTATTTTATGTACACATACAACATTGAAAATATATCTTCGTTTAAAGGCACATAGCACACATTTTGCAAGCCAGCTCCAAGCAGCCTCCTGCCTGCAAGCTCACTGCCTTTCTCAGTCCCTGGGCCTAGAGTCCCCTACTGCTTTCTCTATGCCATCACTCTGCCACCATCTCTGTTGTCGCCACTTTTCTGCTTAGGATCCTCTCGTGTACTTCTTGTTTGATGGTCCTAGGGTCCTCTGTTCTTGAAATTACAGATTAACTGCTCCCCCCTTTTAGTTCACCTCTTCTACATTTACAGTTGTGACAATTGCCATTAGACCTGATAACAGTTACTTGCAATTGAATCATAAAATCCTATCTCCCTCATCACCACACCCATCTAGACAAGAGGAAAACTATTCAGTAGGGTTTTGTCTTACTCCCCTTGTTCTGACACTAAGCACCTTCATGACAGCCTGTAAGCTAGCCACTTCTTGCCTTTATAGCCCCCCAATTTTGAGAGTTGCAGTGTAAGTTGCCCATCCCTATTAATCCAGTGTACTGAGGAGACATGCTTGATCCTTGATATGAAGAATCCTTGCCTATTCATTTGGAATTTTGGGCAGCTTCATCCATAAGCAAAGGTTCAGTTGATCAGGTTGTAGTAATCCACACTTGCTCCCTGTATCATACTTCTTTATCTTCATCTGGTCAACAAACCATCCAAACTAGGTCAAATGGGTACTGTCTGCAAGTTTGGGAGTTCTTGAATGTCACCCCCTCTTCAGATCAGCTGGCTGCTTCATTCTTAGCTATGCCCCCAATGGCTAAGTCAGTGTCCTTGGATTCGAGAGTTCACACGTCTCCTTGGACTTCTAACTGGCCAGCCCATCCTCTTCTCTCTCTCTCTCAAGGTCATCGGGCATCTATGGAGCATGGCCAATCTCAGCCCATGTCTTCTTCACTATATTTCCTCCACTTTCACTTACAGGTTGACCAGGACAGTCTCCAGTAAACACACAAAACTGTTCATGTGTTCCCTTTGAGTTTCAGTATTAGGAAGGAATTTACTCTGATGGGCTGACTTTTCTTGCCTTGATGACTCTAGGGCAAACAGGTTGCTTGATATTACCTCAGCCAAACAGTCTGCTTTTTTGACTGTACAACAAACTGACAGATGAGTGGCGGTTGCATCAAGGGACTCAAGCATGGCAACGACAGTGAGGTTGGCCCAGGATCGGGCAGTGTTTCGTTCTGCTGTGCATAAGGCAGTACCGACTCAATGGCATCTAACAACAACAACAATAAATATCAAGCAACCTGTTTGCCCTGGAGTCATCCTCCCCTCCCCCGTTGGTCTTTCTTTGAAGAAATATCTTCTCTTCCTCTAGCCACTCTGTGTTGGTCTGCATATCATTTCAATTGGGGATGTCCCACTCCCAAAGATTCTGGATTCCACCCAAGGCCCCATACTCCACCAAGATTTAACAAGAGACCTGTTTCCCTGGGTACATTCTAGTCCCCTTTTAGATAATCCAATCAGTTATAGGTTGAAGATGGAGTTAGAAGCTTTCTGTAATCATCTTCCCCAATATTCCTTTCTAGCCCACTTAAATGTCTAGATTACACTAGTAGGCAGAAGAACCCAATATACACAGAACAGTCAAGCACCTTAACATTATTTTCCCTTCTTTACCCATTCAGATTTTGTCTCCATCCCTATATCATTGTTGTTGTTAAGTGACATCAAGTCAGTTCTGACTCATAGCAACCCTGTAGAGGGTTTCTGAGGAGCATCTGGTGAGACCTGTTTCCTTTTTATAAGTATGATCATAAGGATTCTTGATTACTTTGGGACCACCCAAGTAATCCAGGATAATCTCCCTATTTTATGATCCTTAATTAATCACATTTGCAAGTCCCCATCGCCAAGTAAAGTAATGGACTGTGAACCACAAAGTTGGCAGTTCAAACCCACCAGCTGCTCCTTGGAAACCCTATACAAGGCTACTATAAGTCAGAACTGGTATCACGGCATTTAACAACAACAAGGGATTAATATGTTTATGAGGCCATTGTTCTACCAACCACACGATAGCCTTCAGGATGAAGTCTAGACGCCTTCATTTCTCTGGTCACCCTGCCAATGACCTGTCCCTACTACCCTTCTGACTAACCTCATTCCACTCTCCCCTTTGAACTCTCTGCTCTCACCACATGAACTTTTTTCAGTTTCTGCTTTTAGAGATGGCCTGCATGCTCCTTTGAAAGTCTGCCCTGCCTAAATCTGCTTGTTTCCATCTTGGTCTAGGCTGGTTCCTCTGCCTGAAATAATCTTTCCCCACCTACACATTTGACTAATTCCTACTCATCTTCCTGTTTAATTTAGACCTCACTTTCTCTGGAAGCTTTCAACAGCCTCTCCTACTCTTAGCATCTTCCCTCAGACATTGTGAAGGGCTCTTATAGGCCCTTCCTTTGTCTCTGGCTCTAACTTATATCACCTTTAATATTATCGCTCATATAATTCTCTTCTCTTCCAAACTGTAAGCTATTTGAGGATGGAAATTCCATGCTTTCCACATAATAGGGGGCTTATTAACTCCTTACATGAATTTGCACAAACACTAATTTCATAATAGAATGCAAACAATTTTTCTCTACAGGCTTCATCTTACAGATGTTTCATCATTTACTTAACATATATCTATTAAGCACTGACTCAAAATATGTTGCAGACCATGAAGGCCTGGTCAGAGGTTCGAGGCCCTATAGGTCCAAGTGTAACAGATCTAGCCACCTGGCAGTTAATAACAAACTATTTTTCATCTTAGTGTCCAGTTATGTTTTATAATTGCAGACATGAAGCCCTCGATATATACAGATAAATGTAATATTTTCCTAAAAGCCAAGACTGTAAAATTCCAAACAGGTAAAGTTCTTCCCTCAGAGAATTCATTCAAAGTAAATTGGGTGGTTCCCTGGTCTGTTCCAAGGACAATAGGAATGCCCTCCCTAAAGTGTTTCCAGGTGCTGCCTATTCACCCAGGCGCCTCTTTTTCTGAAGAACCTGGGCTGGGCACAATAGGAATCCTCCCGATCCTCCCTTTCCTCCCTCCATTTGAGGCTAGGTGCTAAAAGGTATGTTAATTGAGCCTGAGAATCCAAGTTGTGGTTGTGAGATTCGAACCTGCGAAGTATGATGCAAAGTTGCCTAAATGTCTGGAAAAATAAGATTGACAGCTGTACCTTGTCTTGGTCCCTCCTAGCTTTGTGTAAAGTACCTCCCCTAAATAAAAGGAAGGTGCAGAACGAATCTAGGGGCATTATGACTGGCAAGGCGTGCGTTACAGCATGCAGGGGGCACAGTCCAGCCTTGCAACCATACTGCCTGTTTAGCTAAGATGTTTACTATGCAGGATATTACGGCCTTCATGGCTGAGATGTTTGCAATGCAGGATCTGCCTGATGCCAGTCCAGCATTCACTCTGGTTTCGGAGTGTCTCTTTGTCTCTCTCTTTGCGTCTCTGTGTCTCTTTTGCTATCTCTATTGCCGCTGGATCTCCCCTCCTCATGAACAACACAACTATGTCGAGGTCAGACCCTGACAAAAATATACTGAGCAAAGGCAGCTAAAATTAAGGAAAGAATTACTTCATGTTATGAGGATGCTAAGATTATAATGATTAAGGCAATATGATCATAAAGACATGAATAACAATTCTCCTCCCTCCAGGAAGATGGACTTAGAGGTCAGTGAGCCAATAGATTTTAGTTCTGGAGATCATCTACATCTAGTTCGGAAAACAGCAGATAATGAAAATGTCCAGTCCAAATCTCATCAGCAGAACCCTTCATCTTCAGCTGGGCAGCGAGAAACTCCTGGGAATCCTAAATCAAAGACTGGTGAGCGATCAGATGTCTATGTGGTACAAATTTCAGATGAGAGCACGCCAGAGGACAGCAGTACAAATCAGAACAGCCCATTCTCAGATGCATCGGTTCGCAAAGGTGAGAGTAAAGAAATTACCCATTTGGAAGAGAAAAGCAAATGTTGTCTTACAATGTTTCCATAAAGTGGTTGTCAGAAAGATTTAATTTTGCTTTGGGTTTTTCCTAGTCAACTTTTACCAGGAAACATGTAGAATTGCTATAGTAGACTGTCCCAAGTTGTCCAGAGCCTTCAGAAACTCATAATATATGTATTGTGGTGGATAACTTTTAGACTTCTTAGGATGTAGGGAATCAGTGAACCATAAGGTCAGCAGTTCAAATCCACTAGCTGCTCCTTGGAAACTCCGTACAGGGTCACCATGAGTCAGAAATGACTTGACGGCACTTAACAACAGGAACAAATAGAATGTCTTCACCTACACAGAAGGTGATACCATAATGTTGACTTTTTAAAATATTAATTAAATGTCTCAAATATTAATTCTGTATAAGTTAGAAACAACATCTAGCTGTGTATCAGAAACGTAAGGAACTGTGGCTTAAGCAAATGAGAAGCTTTGTTTTTCTTTCATGAAGTATGAAATTTGGAGTAGGCTATTCAAGGCCAATAGATCTGTTTTGGAAGAAGTGCAGCCAGAGTGCTCCTTGGCGGCCAGGATGGCTAAGCTTCGTCTCTCATACTTCGGACATATTGTCCGGAGGAAACAATCGTTGGAGAAGAATGTCATGCTGGGTAAGGTGGAGGGTCAGAGAAAAAGAGGAAGACCTCTAATGAGATGGATTGGCCAGGTGGCATCATTGATGGACTCAAGTGTGGCAGCGGTAGTGAGGTTGGCCCAGGATCGGACATTGTTTCGTTCTGCTGTGCATGGGGTTGCTATGAGTCGGTTCCAACTCGATGGCACCTGACAACAACAACAATTCAAGGCTCATGCCACTGGCCTCTGGTGTTCACCTAGACTCTTTAGAGTTACCATTCTGACCCTTTAGAACTTTTTAGGGTCTGGACAACTTGAAGGAAGACTATGAACTTTGAATCCGCATTGCTGTTTCCCTCTGACCCCCATATTCCATCTTGACTGGAAAGATGCTTTCCAGGTAGGAAGAAGGAAAAGGCAAACATCCAAGGCAGCCAAGGCAGAGAGAGGGTCACTGCACTGACAACTCCAGGGGCCGCCATTTGGGAATAGATGCCTTGTTGTTGTAGTTAAGTGCCATCAAGTTGTTTCTGACTCATAGCGACCCTGTGTGGAGTTTCCAAGGAGCGGCTGGTGGGTTTGAACTGCCAACTGTTCAGTTAGTAGCTAAGTGCTTATCCTACAGTGCACATCACACCAGTATTATTTATATCTACATCTTCTGTAAGTTAAAGACTACCCCATTTCCTTTAAATTATATAGTATATGAGAAAATGAATGGAGTTCTGGTGTGGCTCTGTAGGATAAGCACTGAATTGCTAATCATAAGGTAGACAACAGTTCAAGAGCACCAACTGCTCCTTGGTCACTATGAGTCGGAACCTACTCAACAGCACTTAACAACAATAGCAATGAGAAGATGAAAGTGCTAAGGAATAAAGGAAAAGTTATGTGCCGTCGAGTTGGTTCCGACCGATACTGGCCCTGTACAGGGTTTCCAAGGCCATAAATCTTTATGGGAGCAGAAAACCTCAGCTTTCCCCCATGGAACAGCTGGTAGTTTTGAACTGCTGACTTTGTGGTTCGCAGCCTGATTCGTAACCACTACGCTACCAGAGCTCCTTAAAGGAAAAGTAGAGCAGAGTTATGTTGTTGTTGTTAGGAGCTTTGTCAAGCCGGCTCCAACTCATAGCAGCCTTAAGCACAACAAATGAAACATTGCCCATTCCTGTGCCATCCTCATAATTGCTGTTAAACTTGAACTCTTTGCTTCTGCCACAGTGCCAATCCATCTTGTTGAGTGTCTTCCTTGTTTTCATTGACCTTCCACTTTACCTACCACGATATTCTTCTCCAGGACTGGTCCCTCCTGATGATACGTCCAAGGTGTGAGAGACAAATCTGGCCATTCCGACTTCTAGGGGGCCTCTTGCTGTAGCTTCTGCCAGCACTGACCTGTTTGCTCTTCTATCAGTCCACTGTACTTTTAATGTTCTTCTCCAACATGGTAACTCAAATGCATCAATTCTTCTCTGGTCTTCCTTATGCACTGTCCAGCTTTCATATGGCTTGGATCAGTTGCACTTTAGTCCTCAAAATGACATCTTTGCTCTTCAACACTGTAAAGAGATCTTGTGCAGCAGATTTGTGGCAGGGTTGTACTCTTTCACCATACTAATTCAATCTGTATGCTGAGTCACTAATCTGAGAAACTGGATTATATGAAGAAGAATATAGCATCAAGATTGAAGGAAGACTCATTAACAACCTGTGTTATGCAGATGATACAACCATGCAAAGAGGACTTAGAATTCTTACTGATGAAGATCAAAGACTACAGCCTTTTGTATGAATTGTACATCATTGTAAAGAAAACAAAAATCCTCACTACTGGACCAATAAATAACATCATCATAAATGGAGAAAAGATTGAGATTGTCAAAGACTTCATTTTGTTTGGATTCATTATCGACATTCATGGAAGCAGCAGTCATGAAATCAAACATTAGGCAAATCTGCAGCACAAGAAGAGTTATAGGCAGGCACAAATTTTTAAAGCAGAGTTTTTGAGATAAAATTTGTTGTTAATTGCCGTCAACTTGATTCTGACTCATAGCAATGCATGATAGAATTTACATATCATAAAATTCATCCTTGTGAGTGTACAGGCCAGTGGCTTTCATTAGCCATTGACATAGCTTCATTGGGGAAATGTCTATTAAAATTCTTCTGCCCATTTTAAAACAAACAAACATAAAAGAATGATTGTTTAATTATCTTTCACTATTCTGTGGGTTTACTGGGCTCAACTGTACAATCCTACTGCTAATTGTGGACTCCTGGTGTGGTGTTATAGGATAAACACTGGACTGCAAACCACAAAGTCAGCAGTTCAAACCCACCAGATGCTACTTGGAATCCCTATACCGGGTCACTATGAGTTGGAACTGACTCAATGGCACTTAATAGCAACAACCACACTGCTAGATATGCATAAGGTTGTTTTGAGTTCCAGGGTACCTAACAACAGCAGCAACACTGCTACTGTTGGGGTCATACATGTGGCACTGTAGGATAAGCACTGGACTGCTAACCGCAAGGTCCCAGCAGCCACTCCTATGAAACCCTATACAGGATCGCTATGAGTTGGAACCAACTCTATGGCACTTAACAATTGATCATTTTGACTGGGGTCTCTCATACAGTTCCAATTAGGTGTTGGCTGGTTTACAATGGTTCTTATGACTTCTTCATGTGGTTGACAGCTGGTGGTGTTAGCTGTCTTCTTGTAGCTTGACTGTCTCACCTCAGATAGCAACTGGGTCCCAGGAAGAAGAGTATCAAGTGGACAAGCCCTGGGGGACAAGCAGTTTAGCAAGTCTTTGCTTGGATTTTGCATGCTGATGTCCCATTAGCCAAAGTAAGTCATGTGGCCAAGTCCAGTGTCAATGTGCGAAGACACTACACAAGCTTTCCCCATTTTTAGCTACATTATTTGTCTTCTTGTTATTGAGTTGTAAGATTTCTTTATATATACTGGATGCAAGTCCCTTATCAGATATAATTTATAAAGATTTTCTTCCATCGATGGGTGGTCTTCTCACGTTCTTAAATGTGTCAACAAGTGTTTTTAATTTTGATGTTCAATTTACTTGTTATTTTTTTCTTTTGCTGTTTCTGTTTCGGTACCTCTCTAAGGAATCATTGCTTAATCCATATTCACTAAGATTTATGTCTACGCTTTCTTCTAATAGTTTTATTACATAGTTTTTGCTCTTACATTTATGTCTATGATTAATTTTGAATTATTTTTGTGTGGAATGAAGAAGAGATCCAAACTCATGATTTTGTATGTGAATAGCTCGTTTTCTCAAACCATTTGTTGAAATGGCTATTCTTTCCTCATTGAAGTGTCTTGGTACCTTTGCTAAAAATCAGTTGATCATAAATGTAAGGGTTTTCTTGATCAATTGGCATAACATAGTATATACCCAAAGGCAATGTTCTACATCCTGCTTTGGTGAGTACCAGCTGGGATCTTAAAAGGTCTATCTGAGAAGAAAGAAAAGTGATGAAAATTGAAGATGCTTGGAAGCAGCTAGTCTAGTGGACCAATGGAGCATGTGAACATCAGTCACTATGGCTGTTAGGCCAGAAGAACTAGATGGTACCAGGCTACCACTACCAACTGCTCTGAAAGGGATCACATTAGAAGGTTCCTGATAAAGTAGGAGAAAATGTGAAACAAACTCAAAAACAGTTTTAAAACACCAGGCTTACTGGTTAGAGAGTGACTAGAGGAACCCAAGACTATGGCCCTTGACCACCCTGGAAAGGATCTCACCCTCATTACCCAATTTTCAGCCAAGCAGTAGACAGGTTTACAGATGGGACAACCGCACTAAGGAAGGTGTGCTCACCATGAAACAGTCACTCATTCAAAATCAAAGGGCAACAATTACTTAGGGCAAAATTGAGAAGGGATGGAAAAGGTGGGTGGAATGGAAATAGGGACCACCGGGAGGAAGTGAGATTCCTTGTTGCATGAAGGGAATGGCAATCATTGAGATGAAATACGATTTGTTGAATGTAAAACTGATAATCTTATCTGTAAGGCCTCACTCCTTTTACAATAAAAAGTTAAAATAATAATAAATAAATGTAAGCGATTCTTTTATTCTATTGTGCTATATACTGATCCTTAAGAGTTAGGATACATTGAATTTTTCCCCCCTCACAATCCTAGGCACTTAGTAAGTATCCAATTCATGTTAGCCAAATGAATATTTTTATGCAAGCAGTATGTATGGTCTGTGTTTTTAGTGTTTATGTTCTGGTATTTCAGTGTTTATGTTCTGGTATTTAGATTAAAATATCTCAGATCTATATGCTGTATGCTCAGCATACAGATTGAATTGTTGTTGCTAAGTGCCATCGAGTCAGTTCCGACCCATAGCAACCCTGTATAGGGTTTCCAAGGAGCATCTATCTAGTAAGTTTGAACCACTGATCTTGTGGTTCAAAGTGACTTTACAGTCAGCGCATTAACCCATAGCGCCACACCAGGACTCTACAGATTGAATAAGCATGGTAAAATAACAACACTCGGGCGCACACCTTTCCTGATTTTAAACCATTTAGTATCCCCTTGTTCTGTTTGAACAAGTAAGTGCCTCTTGGTCTATGTACAGGTTCATCAAGAGCACAATTAAGTGTTCCAGACTACTCATTCTCAGCAATGTTGTCCATAACTTGTCAGAATTCACATACCCAAAAGCCTTTGTGTAACCAGTAAAGCACAGGTAAACATCTTTCTGGTATTCTCTGCTTCCAGGCAAGATCCATCTTTCATTAGCAATGATATCCTTCATTCCACATCTCCATCTGAATCTGATTTGAACCTCTGGCAGCTCCCTGTCAATGTACTGCTGAAGCTGTTTTTGAATTATCTTCAACAAAATTTTACTTGCATTAATGGTACTAATGATTTCTGCATTCTGTTGGGTCACCTCTCTTTGGAATGGGTACAAATATGTATCTCTTCCAATCAGTTGGCCAGGTAGCTGTCTTCCAAATTTCTTGGCACAGATGAATGAGTGCTTCCATTGCTTCCTCAGCTTGATGAAAGATTTCAATTTGTTTTCCATTATTTCCTGGAGCCTTGTTTTTCTCCTATGCCTTCAATGCAATTTGGAAGTCTTCCTTCATTGATTTTTTTTTTTTTTTTAAGTACCATTGATTTTTGATCAGTATGCTACCTCTTGAAATGCTTGAATATTGACTGTTTCTATTTGGTACAGTGACTTTATGTATTCCTTCCATCTTCTTTTGATGGTTTCTGCTTCATATAGTATTTTTCCAATGCTGTTGTTATTAAGTGCCATAGAGCCAGTTCTCACACATAGTGACTCTGTATAGGACTTCCAAGGAGTGGTTGGTAGGTTTGAACTACTGACCTTGCAACCAGAAGTCCAGTAGTTATTTTGCAGCATCATACCAGGATTCCTCTTTTGATGGTTTCTACATCATTCAATATTTTGCCTATAGAATCCTTCAATATTTCAAATTGAACCTTGAATTTTTTCTTCAGTATTTCAGCTTGAGAAATGCTGAGTGTGTCCTTCCCTTTTGGGTTTCTAACTCTAGGTCCTTGCATATTTCATTACAATACTTGGCTTTGTCTTCTTCTTCTTCTTTTTTTTTTTTTAAGGTTTTTATTGTGGATTGAGTGAAAATTTACAGGGCATATCATCAGTTTTGCATTCAACAAGTCATATACCTTATTTCATTACATTGATTAGAATCCTTTCCATGTACCATCAGTTAACAGTATTTCTCTCTATCCACTTTAGCTTTTTAAAAAACAAACAAACAAACAAAACCACTCAGGCATATATAATAATTTACATCTCCAAAGGGCACATTCTGCAAATCTGCTCCTGGCCACCAGTTCTTAGTCCCTCTCTTCTTATTCCATGAATCTAGAGTCCTCAGCCGCTTCCCCTCTCCATGCCCCCATCTCTGCCTCCATCTCTGGTGCTGCTGCTTCTCTGGATAAGGTCCCACATTCTGCTTGTGCATTTCTTTCTTGATGGTCCTAGGGTCCTCTGTTTCTGCACTGTAAGATTAACCACTCCCCTTTTTTTGTTACAAAACTTCTACCTTTACAAGTGTGACAGTTGCAATTAGTCATGATAACAATTATTCACTGTTGAGGCTTTGTCTTCTTGAGATGACCTTTGAAATTTTCTCTTCAGCTCTTTTGCTTCCTCATTTCATCCACTCGCTTTAGCATCTGTGTGCTGGAGAGCAAGTTTCAGAGTCTCTTCTGACATCTTTTGGACTTTTCTTTTTGTACTGTCTTTTAATTACCTGGGTTTTTTTGTTTGTTTGTTTGTTTGTTTTTTGCTTTCTTGATGTCATCCCACAATTCTTCAGACCTTCAGTCATTAGTGTCTAATGAATCTAGTCTGTTCTTGAGACAGTCTGTAAATTCAGGTGGGATATTTTCAATGTCATATTTTAGCTCTCTTGACCTTGCTTTAATTTTCTTCAGCTTCAGCCTGAACTTGCATATGAACAAATGGTGGTCTGTTCCACGGTCTGCACTTGGCCTTTTTTTTTTTGGTTGATGATATGGAGCTTTTCTACTGTCTCTTTCCACAGATGTAATGAATTTGATTTCTGTGTATTCCATCTGTGAGAGCCATGTGTATTTAAAAATTTTAAAAGAACATAAAAATAATCTTTTATGTTATTTTAAAAAGATATTTACAATGAGTAAGTCATTGGTCTTGCAAAATTCTATCGCGTAGTCTCCAGCATCATTTCTATAACCAAGACCATATTTTCCAACTATTGCTCATTCTTTGCTTCCAACCTTTGCATTCCAATCACCAGTAACTATCACTACATCTTGATTGCATGTTTGATGATTTTCAGATGATTTGATTTTCAGATGATTTGATTATTGTTAAGTTCTGTCAAATCAATTTCTGCTCATAGGGCCCTGTATAGAGTTTCTGAGGAGTAGCTGGTTGTTTTGAACCACTGACCTTGAAGTTAGTAATCCAGTGCTTATCCTAGAGTCCCACACCAGGAATTCTTCTATTTCATTGTTACTGGCTTTAGTAGCTGGTGCATAAATTTGAACAATAGTGGTATTAACTGGTCTTCCTTATAAGCATATAGATACTATCCTATCATAAACAGCATTGTACTTCAAGATAGAACTTGAAATGTGCTATTTGATAATGAAAGTGACACCATTCCTTTTGAGTTTGTCATTCCAGACTTAGTAAACCATATTATTTCAGATTCAAAATGGCCAATATCAGTCCATTCTATACATTTTACCATACTTAATAAAATAAAAGAAATAAGAAAAGAATTTTCTTTCATGAAGCATCAGAAATACCTTATTAATAAAGTTTTGTTGGAGTCAAAAAATAGTTATTCTTTTACTATTGAATATCTGTATCAAAGGAAATAATGTTTCTCATTCTGTGATGGTTACAGGAGGTGGGTAGGAGTGAGAATTATTCTTGGGCTAAAGGGTAGATGCATGTTAACATGCCTGATAGGGCAGACAAAATACAGTAAGAGGGAGGTTAGCAGAGGAAAGATGAAGGTAACCGATGACATGGGGTGGTTACAGAGGAGAGAGGTAAGTATTGTTAACTGATGGTACATGGAGGGGATTGGAATCATTGTAATGAAACACTGTAAAACTGATGCTTTGCTCTAAAACCTTCACTCAACCATAAAAAAAAAGTTTAAAAAGAAAAAAAAAAAATCCCTTCACTCAATTCATAATAAAAAGTTAAAATAATAACAATAATAATGTGTCTGTTTCCTCAGCTTTCATTAGGAAAGTATTCCTTCTCCTGACAGTACAGTTGCTTATCACCACGGCAATTATCAGCATGTTCTTTTTCTGGTAAGTCTTTATTACTGATGTAAAATTAAATGCTAGATTGTTCAGATTAATGAAAAATCAACTTGATTTAATTTTGATCATTTCAAAATTTTTTCTTTTTTTTTTTGTAGTTGTTCATAGGCAATAGTGTTTCTATGGACACCCCTGTGTGGTACAAATGACTAGTAACCTAACTTTTGGTGCTTCAAACCCACCCAGCAGCATCTTGGAAGACAGGCCCAGAAATCTGGTTTTGAAAGGACACAGTCTTGAAAACCCTGTACAGCAGTTCTACTCTGCATACATGGGGTCACCATGAAGTGGATTACACTTGACTGCAGCTAACTATTTGACAACAATAACAGGATTTCTATGGCTTTATTTTTCTGAGACAACTCCTAGGCCAAGGTGTTGGTAGACTCCTAGAACGTGACTTCAACTTCCAAAACCAAGAACTTTGTTTCTTACTCATATTTTAGGCACTGTTTTCACTCTTTAAAAATTATCCCTGAGCTATTGTATAGTTCAAACTTGATTTTAAAAAGTGAGATTATGAAGGCCCAAACAAGCATTGTTAAATTCAGAAATTACTGAGAAACTATGAACCATCACTGCTAAAACCCATTCTATGAAAATCTATATTTATAAAACAAATATATTTTAAGCTGGTTTTTGTTTGTTTGCTTTGTAAAACATCAATCTCTATGTTTTCTAACAACAAATGCTTCACATTTGCATTTATCTAAATTTGGCTCACAACTTATGAATACATCTTTTGTGAATATAGCTGTTTAAAAAAAGAAACATTGATATGTTTCACTTATAATGTCACTGGTAATCAAACTTTTAAGGTTTCCCTCATTTTTTCTTGTGATATTGTTTACTTCTACTTAAATATTACATTTCTGTTGTTAAGTGCAGTCAACTTGGTTATGACTCAGAAGGTTTCCAAGGAGTGACTGATGGGTTTGAACCGCCAGCTTTGAGGTAGCAGTCTGGTACTTATAAATATGACACTGTTGTTACTATGTGCCCTCAAGTTGGTTCAGACTCATAGCAATCCTGTATAGGGTTTCTGAGGCTTTTTACATCTTTGTGGGAGTAGACAGCCTTGTCTTTCTCCAGCAGAGTGGCTGGTGGGCTCAAACAGCTGACCTTCTGTCTCCAAGTCCATTGCTTATCGTAAGGAGCCACCATACTCTCTATATATGTATGTATGTATGTATTTATAATACTGATATTCTTTTTTTTTTCAATTAGGAAGGGTTTAAAGGTTTGGATACTCCTGAATGCCTGGTTTACCTATGCACTCTTGTAAGTATCATTGTATTTAATAAAAAGCAGTGCTTACTATAGCTTGATTGACACAAGTTCTTTTACCATGAAAAATGAGATAAAGGTATGCTATTCCTGCAATCCATAACTCGTCTGTCAGTTTGTTGTACTGTGGTGGCTTGTGATTTGCTATGATTCTGAAAGCTATGCCACCAGTATTTTAAATACCAGCAGGGTCACCCATGGTGGACAGGTTTCAGATGAGCTTCCAGACCAAGACAGACTAGCAACAAGGAGGGACGAACTACTTCTGAATATTTAGTCACTGAAAACCTTATGAATAGCAGGGAAACACTGTCAGACATAGTGCCAGAAAATGAGCCACTCAGATTGGAAGGCACTCAAAATGCAACTGCGGAAGAGCTGCCTCCTAAAAGTAGAGTTGACCATGATGACTTGAATGGAGTAAAGCTCATGGGAGAAAAGCCCACAGAACCTTCATTTGCTGATGGGGCCCAACTCAAAATGAACAGAAACATCTGTAAACATCCATTGAAAATCAGATCATGGAATGTACGAAGTACGAATCTGGGAAAATTGGAAGTTGTCAAAAATGAAATGCAATGCATAAACCTCGATATCTTAGGCATTAGTGAACTGAAATGGACTGGTATTGGCCATTTTGAATCTGACAACCACATGGTTTACTATGCCAGGAATGAGAAATTGAAGAGGAATGGTCTTGAATTCATTGTCAAAAATAACACATTCAGATCAGTTATGAGGTACAATGCTGCCTGTGATAGAATAATACCCATGAGCCTACAGGGAAGCCCAGTTAATACCACTATTATTCAAATTTATTCACCAACCACTAAAGCCAGTGAGGATGAAATAGAAGAATTTTACCACCTTCTTCAATCTGAAATTGATCAAACATGCAATCAAGATGTATTGATCATTACTGGTGATTGGAATGCAAAGGTTGGGAACAAAGAGGAAGGATTGGTAGTTGGAAAATATGGCCTTGGTGATAGAAATGATGTTGGAGAATGCATGATAGAATTATGCAAAACCAATGATTTGTTTATTTCAAATACCTTCTTTTGACAGCATAAGAGACAACTATACACATGGACCTCACCAAATGGAGTACGTGGAAATCAAATTGACTACATCTGTGGGAAGAGATGGTAGAAAAGCTCCATATCATCAGTCAAAACAAGACCAGGGGAAAAACTATGGAACAGACCATTAATTACTTAGTTGCAAATTCAAACTGAAGCTGAAGAAAATGAAAACAAGTCCATGAGAGCCAAAATATGACCTTGAATATATCCCACCTAAATTTAGAGATCATCTGAAGAGCACCTTTGCATATACAGTAAACACTAAAGACCGAAGATCAGAAGAGTTGTGGGATGACATCAAGAACATCATACATGAAGAAAGGAAAAAGTCATTGAGAAGATAAGAAAGAAGGAAAAGGTCAAAATGGATGTCAAAAGAGACACTGAAACTTGCTCTCAAGCATAGAGATGATTATGCAAATGGAAGAAATGAGAAGGTCCAGGAGCTGAACAGAAAATTTCAGAGATCAGCTTGAGAAGAGAAAGCCAACTATTACAATAGAATGTGCAAAGATCTGGAATCAGAAAATCAAAAAGGAAGAACACGCTCAGCATTTCTCAAGCTGGGGGAACTGAAGAAAAAATTCAAGCCTCCACTTTCATTATTGAAAGATTCTCTGGGCAAATTATTGTATGATACAGAAAGCATCAAGAGAAGATGGAAGGAATACACAGAGTCACTGCATCAAAAGGAAATGGTTAATGTTCAACTGTTTCAAGAGGTAGCATATGATCAAGAGCCAATGATACTAAAGGAGGAAGTCCAAGGTGATTGAAGGAATTGGCAAAGAACAAAGCACCAGGAATTGATGGAATAAAAATTGCAATCTTTCAAGAAAGTGAGGTGGCACAGGAGGCACTCACTCATCTCTGCCAAGAAATTTGGAAGACAACTATCTGGCCGACTGATTGGAAGAGATCCAT